CAAATGACAAGGTTGCACGTCTTGCCGTCTGCTTTCAGCCACTAGGGTGCTTTAGCCTTAGCGATGAAAAAAGATTTCTTTTCCAATTCTACAACAGTGATGATTTACGGGTCAAAGGAAAAGGTTCTAAAATAATGAAGTCCCGGTATATCCGTGTATATTTTTTGCAGTTATCTTTGCTGTAAAGCTCACTCTTTCCTTTCGCGAGATTTATGAATTCGGTCCAATGTATATGCAAATATTTTTTTTCATCCGCTCAACATTCGTATATGAAATGAATTTAGAGCAGAAAGAATATTTAATTCTTCGGAATATTTAATACTTTGTAAGTGGTCAGAAGAAGATGAAATCGTTCCTACTGTCTAGATGTCTAACCATACAATAAGGGTAGAAGAATAAACTCGTTGAAATCTTTATAAAAAGCACTCAGTTATGCTATAGATGGGAACGTATGTTATCCCACCGAAGTGAAATCAAAACATAGTTCGTATTGTCTTACTGCGGTCAAAAGGCTTACTTTTCATTGGGCAATAGACGACAAGAGGGCTTTTCTTTATATTTGACTTCCGGTGTGACGAGGCAGATCTTATATCACGAACGAAAAATCGATGTAAGCGCGGTTTGTGTTTTGTTGAACAGAAAGAATGTAAGCTTCGAAAAATTCTAAGATTCAGATTTTTTCACTTATTGGGTGGTAAAAAGAGATAGAAAGTTTACCTTTTCGCGCTTTCAGGGGACGTAGAATTTAGCATAGTTTATTGCATAATTATGAGGGGGTTCCCCTTGCCTGAACCTAGACCAAACAATGGATATTGCAGCTTTTTACATCTGACAGCGTTTTGATCATTCTGGAGATAAAGGTCTGTAATGGCTGTTGAATACACCGTTCTTGTTTTCGCAACACACTTATAGTTTATAGGTGAAATATGAATGTTGAGACATATGTTGAGGAAATTTTGAGAGAAATAATATTAAATTACGAAGTATGGTGCTCCATTTGTGAAAATCTAGATATTGCTCGTCTCGCAATATATCATCACCGGTAAAAAGAATGATCCTGAGAACTACGAGAGGCCAAACAAGTTGAAGTCCTCTAGACAGAAGCATTATTTGATGTTTCGGATATTCTCGTTAGAAAATGTTACGAAATCGAATAGTCTATTGCCACTTAAAGGTATGCTCCGCTTGAGGGCGCATGCGTTATGAGAACAAGTGTCCCATATGGAACAAAACTCCTGATCTGAATAATATATATATTCCTCAATCGACACTCAATACGTGAGGTCCGGACCTGGGGAGGGTTATCCTCTATACATAGCAGTGATCTATAAGTATCCTCCCCGCCTAATGACCTTGTCTTTTGCCATCGTTTTGCATATCTGCAAAAAGGCATTAGCGGAATATTCAAGAATGAATTGAGGTTGCGACTACATGACGGACATGAGCTCGGTTGTGTTACTCTCCGCTTCCTTGCGCAAGAGTTGAACAATGTTTAGCCACCAGTTCCTCCGGTGAGTGCTAGACGCGATTTCAAATGCTGGTCGCCTCACCGAAGAACAGCGCCAAGCGACAGCGAAAGTCGACTCAAAAACTTCAGTAACCTTGAAATCACTGACAATTCAATCTCAAAGTAAAAGTACCATCTTAATCCAGTCCTAACAAGTGGTAGTTATGGCGGTGTCACGAGCCTCTGAGGCTCCGTTTGTAATTGGAATTATAACTGAAACATTTCCCCCTAAGAAGGAAAGAAATTACAGGGATCTGTATTCTACAACACCAGTTAAGTGACTGCATCCATGCGTTAACTTTCTCCTACATACGCAGATTTTGGCGACCGAGTATAACAGGTTGAGTTGATGATTTCTGGCTGTACCATCTTCTAGGCAATAAAGAAACAAACTCAGGAATATGCATTAGAGCAAGATTAATATTTGTATAGCAGATAGTTGAATATTACCTCTGGTTGGCTTAAAAAGAAGGTAATTTGTATTCGGTCACATGTTAAGTACAAGACAACTTTCGAGTTGCCTTTAAGGTACTTCGTTTTAACACCTAAACCTAGCTGAATCTCCGATTTAAAGTGGCCCTGCGTTCTGTTCCTAAATAATATTATGTAACTTAATACCTAATTTTGAGAGGACGCTAATTTCGCAATGATTCTCAACTTTGGTAAACACAACTCACTCGTTTGTTTAGGTTTAGTAACGCTTGCAAATTGACTCATATAACGAAATTTCGTTGTATGAAAGATGTCGTTTCTTTTTCCTATTTTGTGTCCCCAGAAATACACAAATTCTCCGAGGGGTTGAGATATAGAAGGAAATTTCTGATAAGCTGTAAAGGATCCAACCATTGGTGAATAGAATAAGTGAAACTGACACAATGACAACTTCAAAGACTATGACGTCATGTTGAATAATAAATTAGGGGGTTCCCCCGACAAGCCACCCTCGACAGTTACTAATGATTATGTAGGTCCTTTTTGAATAACAGATCGAGTGTCAAATTGCAAGCTTTCGTTTCACGGTTCATATGCTCTCAAATAATAAAGTACAGTGGAGTAATTGCGTGTACAAAGATTCGAGAGAGATATGAACGCTATCTTGTTGCATTCGCTATTTATCTCGCCATTAAGTTCATCTGCCTGCAAAGTTCTTTATGAACGACGTGAACGCTATCTTGTAGCATTTGCTATATTTCTCGCCATTTAGTTTATCTGCCTGCAAAGTTCTTTACGTTTTAGATGTAAACTGAAATTATGGTAAATGTTACGAACTAAATAAATTAAAACGAAATACGTGTAAGGCTTCGATCGCAAAGCTAAATATCGCAGGTTGTCACCAGTTAAAATTCGACTGGATTTAGAAAAATAAACGACAAATACGGTTTATTCCGCACGCGAAATGAAACAACGATGTCTGTACCATGAATGGCTTAAAACGCTTACTTTGTCGAATATAAACAGGAAAGGAATTGCTCGTATACAGAGATCTGGAACTTCCAAGAATGCTATTTCTCTAAGTGCACGCTCAAATTTTAAAGTCAGCTTTTACGAAGTAGTTTCGAAGAATGAAGCAGAGAAAAACCTCTTGCGTTGAATATCTCGAGGAACGTGAATAATTTATTGAGGGGCTTCCTCGGAAAATTTGCATGATGAAAATGTTCGGTTATCCCAATTCGTCTGATAAATCTTGTCTTCTTCGCTAGGAACGCCTTTATTTCCATAAATTAACGAATGCAACGATCAAGTAGGTATCACTGATCGGCAGGAGTGGTTTTTTTTTTTACTATAACCGTTATCCTACACAACGCCATCAGCCTGATGCAAAAGAGAGGCTGACATTTAGAAATATAATGTTTCAGTTTCAAATTATACAACGATCCTATGCAAAAACCTTTCTCAGTTAGTTTAAAGGCAGCTTTTAACTGCACGAGAAGTATACTTCACACGAAAGGCTTCAAAAGGTATCTTGCCAATCTCATGTAACTGGAGAGACAGAGCGCATGCGTGAAGAGAGAAGATAGCGACGATCTGTCCCACTTATCTAACAACGCGCGCTCCAAAGGATATAAATATACCAGGTATTCCATTCTCATCTTGAGGTCCGGATTAGGGGAGGGTTACCCCTCATTTGTGATTCGTCACGCCCCTCCCCGCCCTTTGACCTCATTTTTAACTTTTACGATACTGAAAAATTAATTAGCAGAAACTAACAATGCAAAATTATCAGTAACAGCATGTCATGGATACAACGAACACACTTTCTAGGTAAAAAGTATTACTTGTGAAGAGTAACTAGACTGACAATGCTACTATGAAGGACAAGGAGGACAGCAAATTCCATAAGCAAAAACTAAGGAACATGACCGACGAGTCAACAACAATGCAACATATGACGAATACAAAATGGAAAACAAAAGCCCAAAAAACAATTTCTAGCAATACTACTTATGAAGTAAAGGTGCATAGATAACATATGA